AACGTGAGATAACTCCAACTAGTGGTATTTATCATTACGTCCTATGTAATATTGCAATTCTTTCAAAATTGATCCTTAATTTTTCAAAATTATTCATTGTTTTTATCTTCAATTTGTTTATAATTTCAAATCCAAGTTTTACTGCTTTCAATAAACGTAATAGGATAACAGTTGTAATTTTCATTGTACACTTACCTTTAAATTTAATCAGCAAAATTAAACAATTGTTTAGAAACAAGTTAGATATTATATTTACCCAGCATATACGTATATGAATGCAAACACATTTTTCATAGAATATAACACTTTTTTCTCCTTCATAACTTCCATAACTTCGACTGGTTTGTGTACCTGAGGAAGAATAACACTTGAGTACAGGTTGAAGAGCAAATAAACATAGAATAGCCTCGACTTTGAAAAGGCAGCGGAGTTAGGAACTCTTATACTTAAAGAAACAAATAAATGTTACATAATTCATAAGAGCATTAAAGACAGTCTCATTAAGCGTAATTTATTCTGCTTAAGGAACATAAACTCATTACGTTCATACACAGTGCAAGCTTTTTATTAATTATCAATACGCACATACGAATATAGTAAAACCTGAGTGAATTGAATAGAATTGAGACTATCAAATAGTATACGTTTCTGTTATCACGTGGGTTAGCTTGTCTTTGCAGTTCGTCATAAAAGCGTGTTACACTATCGGTTTTACAACGACGATAGCTATTGCATGAACGACTGTGAAATGCGATGAACAAAAGGAAGGGAAAAGGAGTAATTTCGTCAAAGGTAATCAGATAACTCGATAAGGGACCAGTTGTCGTTATCATGTTGTCAAGCGCTTAGAAGCGCGTATATCGTTCGATTAACCATCGAGCCATAAGCAGCAATCACGTACTTTGCTTTTGTTTTCGCCGGTCTGTCTCGCACGCCTATTTCTAACGAACTATACACATCAAATGTGCGTAATCTACTACATGTCATGAGAGTAATTAATAAGCTTTTATATTCCATTTAATTCGAGTTATAATTAATGTTATGAAATCTTTTCTTTTATTACATATGAAATAAAAGCACATTTATGTGGTCAGTTGAGAATTTTTATATATATACATATACATGTTATATTTTCAATTTTGACAGATTTTATTATCATACAATTGATAATTGATTGAACAATAATTGATTAGAATAAATGTAAGAAAACCCAAGGGCATGGGACCCCCGAGTGCGCTTCCGGCCCACCGAAAGTGGTAGTCCCAGAGTGATAAGTCCCAGATCCCAGACGTCCGGGCCCGAACTCCTTTGTTAAGGCTTTACGACGGGACGCCTGACTTTCCCTGGGAAAAACACTCGAAAAAGTTACTCTCCCATCACGTGCACAGCATGTGAGGGTGTTGAAAACTCAAGCTTTCCCCCTTGTTTTTCGACTGTTTTTCGGAGACGTGTCCACGAAACACTTTTTTGCGAGCCATTGAAAGAGTTACTGTTAAAAGCGCGATAGCGCTTGTTGATAGTTTTATCTTTTAGGAATATTACTTTCTTACATAAATCTTAATACGATGTACTTGCAATATTGTAATTACGAAGTTAATATACATGCAGCATTTTTATACACATTTTATTAACATTAATGTGTACCTCATAAAAGTAGGTTTAAAAGATTTACAAAGATTCGTTGATAAGGAAAATAAGTTGGTAGGAAAGAAAGTCTTAAGTTACTGCTTAGGATATTGAAGTAGCCAATAACTATACATATGTATGTATAAATGCCACGAGTGTGACCTGCGTGCTCTTTGCATCCTTGGACGAAAGCAAAACGAACGTAGTGTCTGGTTTGTGTCTCTTTTTAGAGATGCCTAAAGATAGTAGAACAATGATACTGTGTGAAATATGTTTAGAAATTCAAGCATGACACTTGACGTAAAGTAAAAATATTTCAAGGACATGACATCCACATTTATTAGAATGAATTACTCAAAATAGAAATGTTTCAAGTTTTATTATATGAAATAAAACATACACAGTTTAATAGAAAATGCACCGATTGAATAAATAAACAAATACTTGCATTTTATATTTCGATTATCGTTATAATCATTATAAAAAAGGTGTAATAAACATAACACGAACATAATTTGTTAAATATGACATGAAGGTCTTTCAATTTATAGAATTTTACACATTTAATTGAAAGTAACGAATAGTTCGAGAAACTTAACAAAATTTTATTACAATGCATTGAGCGTGGCAACTTGTCGGTAGTTGATGAAAAGGCAGTGACCACATGATGGTATTTAATAAATATTCATGGGCTACAATGAATTGACGATTTTTATGATAAACTATGCCATTCAAAAGTATCAATGATACTGTTCAAATATTCATTGTTTTCACGATGTTCGTGTTCTTTTAAGCTTTAATAACTCAACTGACAGGATCTCATATCTTTATTATGAAATTGTAATCTTTAAAATAATTATAACA